TCCAGTAATGATATGTGAAACTATCAAGGCCCTACAGCAATTTAAGTGTCTCTGAATTTACTTGGCCTCCTTTTCAAGACACCAAATGCCCAGCTTCTTACAGATTCAGATGTATTCTTCTCAGTTCCCCAAGTTCTTATTTACAAATTGCCAATAAAAGGGGGAAAAAAAAACCCAAAACATGAGGCTGTTTCACCTCACTTAAACTGATGGCAACTGAGAGTCTCACAGACTTTGTTCTCTGACTGCACTCTAATTAAGATATACAAAGAACAATGAAAGTACATTTATCTAGTCATTCAAAAATCCATTTAAGCTGTTGCACTCTATAGTACGGACTATACTGCCCTTAGATTCACAGAGAAGAAGGTCAAAAGTTTAAATAAATCATATTGCTTAGCTTCAGTGCATATAACACGGATATCACAAAAGAAACACCATTAAATTCTATAACTTTAGATACAGCAGTCACTTATCCAGCTGTTAATTAAATCCCAATACAATATGACCATCATATTTTTTATTCATGAACTAGACCACAGCAAACTGCATTTTAATAAGCACAAGTGTTGAAAATTAATGACACTCAAGAGGGCTGTAAAATTTTTTCTGCAAATCTACTTCAGGTTAGTATGTAACCTGGCAAAACTAGTGTAGATTTGGGTCCTAGTTAGAAGTACTGTGTATATAAGACTAAATATTCACCTTCCTGATGTGCTGCAGACAAGGTTCACATCAGCATTCTCCCTGGAGATGCCAATTGTTTATATTTGTATAAAGGTGGTGCCAAACTTCAAGTGGGCATGACATGCATTCAGACACCTCTGGCCAGTGCTGCTGGCAGATGAATTATTATGAGGAAACTCAAGACTCTTTAAGAGAACTTAACTGAGGTAATGAAGTATTGGCCAGTCAATGTCAAGAACCTGTTTAGTGACTAGGGAGGGGATGCTTCCCGTTTCACCCAGCATCTGAACCTGAAAGAGCCCCCAGACAATGCCAAACGTGTCTTCTGGTGCTAAAGAAGCAACTTGCAGGATTTAATCATAACCATATGAGGACTGTTTCAGGTGCAACACCCTGTCAAAGTGGTCAAAATAGCCAGCTACCTCAGCCAGCTGCTAGCACTACCCACAGCCTGCACAACAGAGACAACAGAGATTAGAAAGAACAAGTGTTATCACCACTTTTAATAATCTGGGGAAGGTCCAGGAAGGATAATAGCGTTATCCCATAAAAAGTCCCAGTGGCAAAAAGCATCTCAAAAAAAAGAAAAAATGACAAGAAGCATCAACAGCAGTGGGGGATCTACCACAGACTACCGACTACGTTTTTAAAAAACCGAGCTTTGGTGGTCTGATGTAGCCAGGAAGGAGCCTTTTTGTCATCAGTGAAAATGGGATCGGGGATGCTCAGCTGGCACCTTGGCAGAACAGAGTAGGTCGTCCTTACTGTACATGAAGGAATGAAGTTCTAAAAAGATTCACTGGGCAAACCAGTCATGCAAATATGTGTTTCTTTACACAGATTTAGGGGAGCAAAGTAAACCAGTTCCACAGTTACCTTAGACAAGGAACCGATGTTGCAATTGATAACATTGGTAAATTTGTGGTTTAAAATGCAGGAAGTTTGCATGGTTATTGAGATGGCACAGAAGTGAAGTACAATTTGAATTACAGGGAAAATGTGATAATTAAACCCTCACGACAGCTGGTGTGGTTTCAAATTTCAACATTTCTTTCCAGGGGCTGTTACACAATAAAGGTAAAAATTACCTGTACTATATGTACTTTGGTTTGCTTTCTGAAAGACAAAAACTGTCACTTGTTTTGGTGGGGGAAACAAACACCACCAGTCAAAAGCTGCAAATCTGCATATCTAAGGTAGGATCCTGAATTCTCTCTTGGGCAGCTAAGGAAAAGTTATCTCATTTTAAGAAGCATTTTTAAGATTTTACATCTGCCTACCAGTCTAGTGGGAGGACTGTTAAGAGATGATGAATTCTCAGACAGTTCTGCTTTTGCTTCTCAAATCTGGATTTATGAACCTAATTTCAGTTGGCTATTGAAAATTAATGGTGTTCAGGCAGCAATTTGCCTACCAAATACTACTTGCAGAGCTATACTAATTTTCTCACTAAGGCTGATGAACAAGTATTTACACAAATGAAAAGAACATACTAATCTCTTTTCAAAGACCATGAAAAAGGCTGCTTAACAAGTGGAGGGAAAAGAAAAAAAATGTAGGGCAAGAAATATAATTTTGAATTTCTGTGAAGATATCACATGCAATATAAGAGAGACCAAAAATAATCTCACAATAGAACCTGACATTAAAAGAGATTAAAGGAGGTAAAAACCACACAACCCAATCAAGTTGGTAAAGCCTAATTAGCAGAGACCCATCCAGAGATCAACAAAATGCATTCTTTTCATTTTGTAGTACAAAGAAGCTGCATATATTACTTGTATTAAAAAGCTTCTAAAATGAATTTAATTAACTATGAAAGGCTTGATTTTGCCTTCGGGTATATGTAAAAACAGCAGCTGATTTTACAAGATGCACTGTGATGCCTGATTGTGTAGCAAAAGAAAAATTAAAACCTTTAGGTTTCATTGCCTCTCTGGGTTCAGATAATTTTGTGGCCCAGAATTTAATTATATTTGGCCACAGTGAACTCAAATTCACACAGGGGCGACAGCCCTTTGTCTATTTTGGAATCTGATTTGCGAGCTGAGATTTCAAGGAATACACAAAAGCATTGTCCACTCACAGGGGGAACATGGACAAGCCATGTGGCTGAGAGACCTGTCAGAAATGTATTCCACACACATGAAATGCATGAGGCTGAAGATTTGGCCACATGACAGTGCATATGTCTACTATACTGTGCTCACATGCCAATTATTTTACTGTGATTAATTCTTCAAATATGCAAATACTTTTCCACAATTGTATAAACAAAAGAAAAATGGAAATAAAGGATTTTAAATTAATTAAATCAGGAGATTCAAAGGAATTGCTACTGAATGTGGAATATCTCCTCTCTTTACCTCTTGCCTGGCTACCAGGGAGTTCTGGCACACACTTCAGGAGCTCCTACGAGCAGTTGAGCCCAAAAACTTTGTCTGAATTCAACCTGCTGCTTCTTAGCATGCCCTGGGAGCACCTCAGCCCACAGCTGGGATGTCTCTCCTTGGAGACTTTCAACACTTGACTGGGAATGACCACAATAGATAAGACCTCCAGGCTTGGATGGCTTGAATGCCTCCAGAAGCAGAGTGGCTTCCCCCACGTCTGGATTTCTGGATATTGTGTCCTAACGTCTTAGCATCCCAATTCAAGGTCTTTTCTATCCCCAGTATACAGAAAAGCCAAGGAATGCCCTTCTCTGCCAGCCTGGGATATGTTGCTGGGTGCCAGCAACTCCTATCAGTGCTGGATAGGGAAAGCTGAGATCCTTGACTCATACCAGCGCTCCATCCTGAGCTAAAAGGCATCCAAGGATGATGGTAAAAGGCTATGCACAATCCCTGGCAATTCATATGGTGAGACACTTGTGCTCATGGGAAAGACAGATTGCCCTTGTTAAGAGCTTGAACTTCTACTCTTGTGCCATTCTGCCTTTTCCTCACTCTATAAAAGGTGACTGGAAATCAAATGTTATTTCAACTAGCATAGTAATACCAATATTCCTCCACAACCTGTTTCCTAGAGATCCTAAAAGTAAATAGGGCGTGGCTTACCAAACAATGAGCCTTGCTTGACTGGCTGTTGACAATAAATCAACTTTACTTTTGGCTTCAGTGACTTCTGGCAGCATTTTGGAATGCCACCATGCTAGGACAGCAAGGTTGTCCTGGAAGCTTATCATCCTGACTGTCCAAATCAATTGTACCCTTAAGGTTTCCCCTCATGGCATGACCTCCTATTTGTGTTGGGGTAATTTGAAGGCTAAGTACTGTGAATAAAGAGAAAATTTGGCTTTGTAGACAGTGCCAGAGGCACACAAAACAGAACAGTGTGGATGCACCCATCAGTTCTACTACAAAAATGGTAATTGTGGACCATCACCACAAAGCAAATCACTTTGAGAATACAATTCTTTTTTATAACAATTGAGTGGAAAAAATAATGGAAAACTGACAGAACATCTTTTCTCTATTGCTGTCTTTAGGTCTGTCAATGTTTTCTTTAACCTTTGATCAAACACCAACTACTGACAAGTATTTTGCCAGTCATTGCACAATGGCTTTTCCTAAGCATATAATGAGATTCAGTGTTAATTTTCTCAGTAACTAACATAGAAATTTTTCTTTCTGTGGGAGTGCAACACTGGGCTATATCAGGAAAGGAGATAGGATGCTCTTCTGGAGAAAGCATAACGACTACTGAGAATATGTAGGCTTTTTAACAGCTTTGCCATAGCTGTTCTGTTCCTGATCATGAACAGAGCATTTAGATCTGCCTCCACAAGACTGTTTGACTCCCAGAGCCTTTTGCTACTCTACATGTTAAGTCTCCCCATCAGCAAAACCAGACACAACCTCTTCATGTTTCTGTCAGTCAGGATAATAATTGTCACTGGTTTAGGAAGCCCATCCTGACAAACTTTCAGCCTGCTTTAAAATACATCTAGGACTTCTGAAAGGGATTTTCAGACACCTTGGGTAGTGTATATAAGAGCTGACCCAAATAGAAGAGTGACAGCTGCACTGTTAAAAAACAACAAAGATTTTGAGAGTTTGTAACTAAGAGGTCAGACCTGAACCAAGGCATCAGCTAACAGGATCCATCTACAGGGTACACACATAAATGTGTGTGCATGTAGTAATTTGTATGAGTTCCTTATTACCAACATACTTATTTTTTTCACCAACAAACTCAGATGCTGCATATTTAAACAGGTCTACTCCGCTGTAGCATGAATGGAGAAAGGAGTGAGAAAGGAGATCACTACAACTTGCCTGCCTACAGCAGCATGCTTGAGAGCCTCTTACCTTGACATGGTGTATCAGGTGCTCAACTTCATTCACTTTGTAGGTCTCTATTCCCAACTCTTTGGATAATCGCAGGAGACGATTCTGTGTTGGCCCCACGTAAGCTCCTCCAAGGTCAACATATTTGACTTGCTTATTCTAGTTTATCACACACAAAAGGGGAAAAAAAACCAAACAAGCCAGTAAGTCCTTTGTAAATAGCACACAAGTTAAAAGAGCAATCCGGAGGAATGAAATGAAATTAAACACTCCCATAGTATTTTGCCTAAGATTTCTCTCTCCTTGGAAAAACATAAATTCTTTGGTGGAGTTCTGGTGTGGTGATTACTCAGATCTCAGGTTATGAGTTCATAAATAGCTTAGCAGGCCCATTGCTACAGGCCTTAAACAAATATGAGAGGAAAGAGCCTGACAAGCAGAGAGAGGATGGAGAGAGACATGTGTGCAGCTCTTGCTCAGTCTGGTATCTCAACAACGACTGGTTTAAAACAGACTGTCCCAGGAAGTAGCACAGGCAAGATTCTCTGATGAGCAGGGTAGGAGGGGTAATCTCCCAAGTCGAGGTAGAACAGAAGGTAAAGTAAACATGCTGGCTGAGTTCCCAGCCACTACTCTAGCCTACACCACTCCTCATGGGGCTTGTTAAGGTTCAGCTCAAGGCTCTTTGCAGCATGGTTGACCTTATGGGTGTTTTTTCATAGAGATTTCAATAGTGTCTCTCCCTAGGAAATTACTTTGAAACTTAACTCATCACACTCTCCTTACCAGATGGATGACTCCATACCCTACAGATCACACAGAAATATTCTGTCTCCACCATCACACCAGTCTTTCCCTTCTCTTGCTGTTAAAATATCAAGAAATTTCCCACCTTCTAGTACTCCAGAAATCTTCCCCTTACATGTACAGTATTTACTCTAAGTTTGTACATGTAGAATAAATGGGTTTGGAGATAATTACCCTTACAGTGAAAGTTCTTCCACCAACCCTGTCATTGGCTTCAAGCAACACCACATTCAAGCCTGATTCAGTCAGCAGTTTGGCTGCTGAGAGACCTAAAAGACAAAAAGAAAAGCAATTAAAGGACACTTCTACATATGCACCACGTGGCTTTTGTGAGTTGAGATGTAAAAACCCTCATAGCTATCCATCCAAATCCCAAATTGTTCATTCGAACACTATGACAGGGGGGTGAGGTGGAATTAAAAAACTAAAAAAGCAATAATCATTAAATGAAGCTGAAGCCATATATTAAAACAGTTTGTGGTCAAAATTTACATGTGCTGAGCAAGTTTTGCACCACATGCTCAGCAATTCTGATGCATAAGCCAGCACTTGTTATGACAGTCATCCAACCATGCAGGGAACTTGTTGTTTGTAAACAGAAAGCTGTCTTCCTCAACATGTCATCTTTTATAACCCAAACAGAAAAAAAAAAATAGGAAGTTTTATTAGGACTGTCTTAAATTTCAGAAGCTTTCCTGACACTTGTTCTATGTCTCTGCTTTCCAGTTCTGAATATTTTGAAGTGCAATAGCAAAGCTTCCACACAGTCAGGTCACAGGTTTCGCCTCCAGAAGAACACACGGTCTGATTTAGAAGAAACAGAATGTGCACTTGTGCATGACAAGAAGAAGAAAAGAATATAGGTTAATCTACCCCATAAAATTGTTTGATTCCTCATCCATTTTATTTCCACCTTGCAATTTTTGGAGCTGAGACACTCAAGTGAGGGAACAATAAGAATAGAACAATAAGAATAAGGAACATCTCACTCTAGTTCTGATGCCATAAATCCTCATAAATGCAGAGGGAAATATTAGCTCCAAGCCCTGCAGCAAGTGTGGCAAGCTGCTGTGGGAATGAAGGAAATTAGAAAGGGATTACAGCCTGAAACCTCTCAACTTCTTAAGATCATCTCTCACCTTTTACTTCAGCACACAAACCGAGATTTGAATAAGCTGTGGTGCTTACTTTGGTCACTTGAGAGTGAATTTCTAGTGGGACGACACAAGTTATATTCTAGTGGGTTGCCTCATCCTCTTGAGCCAACAGGATGGGTTGAATAAAGTCCAGCAACAGGCCAGGCTGGAAGCCTCACTCATACACCGTAATTTATCCTTTTTGGCTCTCTGCCTTGTTACCATGAGAATGCAATCAGTTCCCTCTGTGTGTCCTGATACATGTAGTTTTGAAGGAGTTGTGAAAGAGGATTGTTCCAAGCATAAGGCAGCCACAGAACAAATGGCAAAAGCACCAGCAGGAAAAACAGATGGCCAGAGCTAGCATGGCAGGACTGAATGAAAGCATAATGAAGAAAGTATAGCTGTCCTGGATAGAGGTTACAGAACACTGGTCATCAACTACTGGACTGGGAGCAGGAGAACCAGGTTCTGTTCTCAACCCTGTACTGAAACTGCTGTACTGTGCTGGTTAAACCACTTAAGGTCTTCATTTACTCACCTGAAAAAAAAAAAAAAAAGAAGAAGAAAAAAAGAGAGAGAGAGACAATGGTGTAGATCTATCTATCTACAGGATTTTAGATTTTCTAAAGAAAAGCTGCAGATGTTTCCATTAAAATATCATACTGTCCTGCTTCTATTTCTAGCTTCATGGTCTTATTTATCTTGGGTTTTCACATAACCGTTAGTGAGAAACCCAGTAATGAAACTGATAAAGGTCTTTCCATACTTCCTACTGAGGAAATTATATTGCGAAAACATCTGGTTGGATCAGTGGCCTTGACTACACTCACAAATATTTGAAGATACCAAGGAAGAACATAATACAGAAAACAGTCATGGTATGTAAACATGGACCACATCCTCAAAGAACTTGCAAAGTGAGATTGGCTTCTGGAGGAAAAATAGCCAGCAAAGCTCCTAATTAAATCTAGCTTATCAGTTAAAGAGAAAAAAAAATTACTTTTCAAAAAAGAAACATTTCATCAGTTAGGATCAATAGTAGTTATTAATAATTTACAGAATGAATACACAAACTGAAGGCTGCTGTCACTTGTGAGTTTCTGTTGTCTTATCATGCTAACAGGTATTGACTAATCAATTAATAGCATTCAGTTACCAACAATGATTAAGGGATATGAGATTTGACCTTCTTTATTAAAATCTAATGAATAAACATTTCAGTACAGTTGGGAACAAAAGCAGTTTATTCCCGGGAGCTGAACAAACGGAAAAGTTTATGAAATGATAACTCTTTAGACTCAACTGAAATGCAGCTGATTTGTAGCCCAGATACCACTCCCTGTTTCCCCCTGCAACTTTCATCCACTCTATAGCATCTACCTACTATTTACTCCTGCTGTCTATTTTGGGGCACACGCCCCCTTTCTCCCAGACCCACACATTCACAGATGTACCTGTTAGAGGTGGATAATGGTTTGCTCTTTCCTGATGCAAAAACAAAATACCAAAACAGTGTTGAGGGTAGGATCAAGCTCATCAGTATCTCACTGACCCATCCATGCCCATCCTCCAGCAGATCTGATCTCTGCAGGGGGAAGGATGTGTCCTTTGGGCTTGGCTCTGTAGCAGAAGATGCAGTTTACAGGGTTCCCAAACTAAGCACCACCACCTGACCACTTTAGTTCAAGGGCTGGTGGTCCACCTGCTCCTCTCACCCACATCACAGCTCTGGTTTTGCTCCAAAGTTTGCTGGAGAAATTAAGCAGACAACTGCTGACAAAGTCAGGGACCATAGCCAACCTCTAGCTTCTCCTACCCCTCACCACAAACACATGGCAGCAAAAAGATGGAAGAAGAACAGACAGAGGCTCAGGAGGGTCAGATGGCACAGCAAAGGACCAGAGTAGGTCTCATAGCACACATGGTGCAGGATAAGGCAAGACTGCTGTGACAAATATAACACTACAGTGCAATGTTGTCAGGTAGAAATATTGCTCTTTTGGTATCTTACACACTTAGAATCACAGTACTGCCACATCACTCCACACCTGTTCCCTGGAGCTGGACCCAAGACCCCCCCAGTCCTGGGTTGGAACCAAATAACAGTGAGAGGACTGGATGCTGCTGAGGGAGAGCTCTGAGCCGAATCGATACGAGGACAGATAAGGCATCAGAACAGCAACAAAAGCGTATGAAAATGGAAATTAATACTAGGACATGAATACTGGAGCACGAGGTTGAGGTTTGCTTTTCAGAAACTAACAACTGCTGCAGGAAACCCCTACAAACCACAGCCTCTTTTCTGGGCTAGAATCAGAGTGGCCTTTCTGTGCCTGATACCCCAATTGCCAGAAACAGAGCAGGCATGATGCCTGTGAAGCAAAGCCTGGAAAAATCTGTCATACATGATGTGAGATCTCATCTTGAGAAGTTTAACCCTTCACAAGTTTCACATTTCAGCACTGCCTCTGGCTTACCTCTCACTCTCTTGCACATCACTAACAAAAGGCAGACCTTTAATATTGTCCCTATTCCTCACAAATGAGGCAAACAGCCCCATTCAAATGTAAAGGTCATCCAAAAAACATGACTGATGCTGTTACTATTCCTGTTTCATGCACTGTTTTGTCATCCAGTGGCATCTTTCCCTCCTCACCAGAAGCATTTCAACAGAATAAGATCTGAATTGCAATATAAGGGCTCAACCACAGAGGAAAGGAGCTAGGTCCAGTTTCCACTGCAGGTCAGCTTTCTACAAGGGGCAACTGAGAGCCCCACATATATATATATATATATATATATATATATATATACGACAGAAAACATAAACCTCATCTGCAGTTCTGCTCAAACAACTGATAAGCAGTTAATTAATTCAAAGAGCAAAGAAGCAAAGATGATTATTTGAATCCCCAGACTGAAAATACCATTGTACTTAGAGATGCTTAACCAGGCAAGCCTTCACGTGTGTTCCCATAGCAACCCAGTACCCAACCGCAGCCACCCAGAGATACTGGCAAGAGATTGCCTCCCCCAGAATCTTGTAACACAAGTTCAAGCCATGAAAATCACTTCTTCATCATATAGCACTCTGCATTCACACAGATATGACTCAAACATCACAGTGTAAAATCATCATAATAATTATTTCACCTTCAGTTCCAACTTTTTTCTTGTTTGATAGCTCTGTACCCGCTAAGCACCTTAAGTTGCACCATTTGAATAAACAGCTTCCTTACAACCTCACTTTCTAACATTAACAGTTTCCTTATCCTCAGAGAACGAGTAATTCAGATTTTTTAATTTTTTTTTTTTAAAACAGAAAATCTTACATTTCTGTGCTAGAGCAGAATCCAAACTGATATTTCATAGAATCTTAGAATCATTAAGGTTGGAAAATACCTCCAGGATCGAGCCCAACCTTTATCATATGTCTATATTTATGTTTGGATCATATATATTTGGATCACATATATAATATTTATATTAAAATATATTTATTATCTATACATTTGCATTGATAAATATGACAAGAGTCAGACTTTTTTATCTGACCCCCCTGTAGACTACAGTGAAACCCTACAATCAAACACATTAGATTATCTAAAAAATACTTTGAAGTACTTTAAAGAAAAAAAAACAACTGAAATTTAATAACAGATTCCAGTCTGATTCTACCTGGAATCAGCAATTTTACTGAAATACACTTTTAATCTTAGCACTTCCACAAAAAAATCACTAGAAAGGACATGATTGGAAATTGCATCTCTGAAAAGCTGTAAATTTCTGAAGGCATTCCTGCAGTTCCTGTTGCACTTTCTCTGTATTATTCACTACTTCATCATGTTCCTCCATATTTATTATCTCCACTGTAAGAACAAAAAAATAATTATAAAAATCACCTATAAATTCTAAGTTTTAACTCATGTAAGGAGCAAAGAAAGAGTCTCTAAGACACAGGCATTCAATTAATAGTTTCTAAAATTACCGGCAAAAAAAAAATATTTACTCTGTAACCTTAGAAATTTCTCTCTTTGACTGAAATTGTGCATTGAGCAGGAAGAAATGCTGTCATCATACTTGTACTGTACTAACCTGCAGGTCTTACTGCAGAACTTACATGTCTCACA